AAAAAAAAAAAAAAAAAGGAAATAGCTCAAAAAAAAATACTGTTAATAAACTTGATCGCTATTGCTTCGACAGAAATAAAATATCTTTCGGATAGATAATGCAAATGATTCATCTCGTTAACACGCGCGAATCATCGAATTTTTTTCTTTTATCAATTGTGTTCTTCCTTTGTTTTCCTTTCTTGCAACAAAGCGCGATACTATTCTGACGAGCAAGATGGACGATGGCAAGTTTTCTGATCCCGTAGATCAGAACGATGATGAGATCAACCGATGAAATGAATGAAAAGTCGCTTACCTTTTACAAGATCGATCCTTCCTCCTTCGATGTATCTCCCCTGTGAAACAACAAGGATCGTCGAGAAGCTGACACTAAGTAGCAAGAGAACTGCATGGAACCGTAGTATATATGGCCCATGGGGTCTCAGGGTTCAAGTCCTACCTCCCCCACTACACGCCACTTGGCGAAAGTACTCCGCGATCGGTACTGTAATGTTCAACATGAGGCCCGTCTACATCAACTACTGAACTGGAGAAGGACAGACATTTACCTGTGCACAGGATCGCAATGCACTGTGCACGATTGACGATCGAACCGAATGCCGAATTGTTTAAACATATGCTCGAAATAAATTTAATATGTTAAATTTTAAAATTTTTTATTCAATATACATTCTGGAAATATATTCTTCGAGATGTATAAATAATTTCTAGCTTTTTATTCGAAAACATTTCAGTTTTTTTTTTTTTCTTTTTAATTAATATTATCGTTTCTCAGAATTTCACTAGAAAGTTAATTAGATTCAATATTCAGTATATTCAATTTTTTGAGAAATGAATTTTTGATTCTCTCAGGGAAAAAAAATTGCTAAAGTAAGGTAATAAATAATGTATTAAAAACCAATAATGGTGGTAAAAATAACACTGATAATATACCAAAGATCAGAGTTTCTTATACAGTTACAAATGGCAAAGTTAGATAATAAAAAGATCTAAACGTGTCCTATATATGTAGAGGATACTCTTTCATCGATCGAGCATTTATCAATAAATTGATTGATGATACCCGTACTCAGGTACTCGTAACTACGAACTACACTACTTTATTATCTTTTTTATTTTTCTCGTAACTATGAACTTACACTATTTTATTATCTTTTTTATTTTTCTCGTGAATATGCAATAGTTAGAAATGTGCATGGCATTTAATATTGATCGGGGAACATAAATTCCCCGAGTAGATTGAAACCTTTCGACGAACGAAAAATAAAAAAAAAGGCATAAGGTCTTTGATCGTTATTAAACTTATCGATGATTGGTTCAACAAGTGACGGTTACTGTGTACGTTTCATGTATGTACGAAAGTTTACATCAACTTCGAACTGACATATATTAATCATCCAATCTGGAATCGATCGTAATGTATCATTTATAACTGAAAAAAAAATTATAACTGAAAAAAATAATTCGACCACGATAATTCCAAGAAAAAGAGGCCACCAAGATCAATGGTGAATGTTCAATGACGTATACTCCCGTTTACGTAAAATATGAAAAAAAAAAAGAAAAGAAAAAGAAAAAGAAAAAATTGAACAATAATATCTCGAGACAATCGCTCTTCTCTGGAATAGTTCGATCTTCGTTCGCATTGATCAGACGTTTATAATGCAAAAATGTTTAACTTATGATAAACTAACTAAATTAAATCGACGCCAAAATCAACAAGGTTGTCTTTCAAAATTTTCACGATTTATACTTTGCGAAACTCTGTTCCCGTTATATCGATTTTACATATCGGTTCTTTTACTCGTTTCGCGCGCGAATCATGGCGAAATCTTGGCAACGAAAGATGAAAGAATCGTGAGAAGGAAATAACCAATTGAAAATTCGAATCGTGTACGAAAAGCTACAACCTGGAATACTAACGGTTGATTTATAAATAAATAGAGATCTTTAGTCTAAAACGTTTTATAATTAAATTCTACTTAATCATATAGGGTGTAGGTACTTGATTATTCCATCATAATTTTAATATAAAATGGGAATATCTGAATGATACGAATGATGATCTTAATAAATTTAAATACACAAAATTATTAATTAAAAGTTACATATCGATAGATGTTGACTTTATCATTAATTTTGATTCGATTGAACAGCGTGCGGAAAATACGTATTTATACATATATGTATTGATGAGCAGGTAGTAGTCTTAACAATCACATTCCACTCTCGAACATTTGTCATCGGTATCATCCCGCACGCCGTACTTTCTTACAAAATAATAAAAGTAATTTCGTAATTATTTTCAATTTACAATCTCGCACTGAATGCTCGGAAATATAATTTAAAACTTACTCTATAATTTTATAGAATCATCAAAGACTATCGTAACTCCCTTCGTTTATTGTGCTTTCGAATTTCACCAATCGTCTTCCTCCAAGAAGCAATTTCTTTTACAATTAGAAGGATATCGAAATTCTTTCTGCATAATTTTCGAGTTTTTACAATTATCTTCCTTCTACGATTAAAAAAATTAACTTGCTGACCTTCTGTACCGTTATATAAAATTCTAAACACGATAAACTTAACGAGAGATGTACGATCTCTAAGAAATGAATCTCGAATCGATGAATTCGATTTTGTCATATAGATTCTATCGGAATGTAGCACATTCTTCTGAGCAACAGTATCGGGAAATTCGGTAGGAATACGATGAAAAGCAGCACCAAGGGCGACAGCAGCAGCAGAACACTGGCGTATATCACCAACCACCATACCGTCGATATTCCAAGAACTGGATCCAACATCGTGACTCCTAATTGGCCAAAATGTCAGGCACTCAGAAATTCTGAAGCATCTGCGCCTCCTTCGGATAATTCGATTCCACGAATCCAATACGTGTTTAGAATCATGATTGATATATTCCTTCGTGTGTAATTTGGTTAACCGAACGATTCCTAAAAATAGAAAAAAGTGTAAGTGAACGTGTTCAATTGGAAAAATAGAATTTTATGAAATTTCTATTCCAAAAAATTTAAGCCTATGAATATTTTCCTTTTTTCTTTTTATAAATCAAATCCTGATTCTTAAATACATTAAACTGTCCACTGTATTTGTAAAAATATTGATGATATTCAGGATCGCGCACGTGACACTTCGTTAATCGGTTAGGTTTGTTTTGTCATTTTATGATGCTTACTTTTCAACGGTTTGAAAGACTTCAAATATTTAAGAACCTGGGCATCCTGCATAATAATACATTTCGAGTTCTTCGTTTTAATATATTCATAAGTGAATAAAAGTTTAGTAGAAGAAATATTTTTTTTCAATTTCTCTTAAGATAATTCATCGTTGCATCTTCTTTCTTGTCTTTCTTTTTTTATTTGAAAGAAATTATTTTTCTCTTGCTTGCAAATAAATGAATCCCTTTTCTTCCTAATTATTCGAGTAAAAACAATGTGATTTTTTTTCTCGAAGCGTCATTATCGTTTCGAGTATTAAGAATTTCAAGGATCTTCATCAGATTTACATCGGATTTTATTTTTCATAATAACGAGTTCTGTTGGAAAGGTGATCCACTCTTTCGTACGATATGCGGAACAATGAATACCGGATTGCGCAGTTAAACCACAGCCGACAAAACATTGTTCGATCGAATCGATTATTTTTACACTCTATTATTGAACAGAGAAATGAAACAATAGGGATGACAGGATAGAACGAAACGTAAGAGCAAAATTCTTTTGTACTTACTCACAATTTCTAATAGATTTTTAACAAATGAAAATTGTCTTTTATGGTAAAATACATAAAATCTGAATTTAATCAACAAATTTTTCAAGCTAACAATTCAAAAACTATTGCTTTTATTGATTTTATATTAAAAGTTCTTCTTTTTTACTATTAAAGAAATAAACTCTTTTTTTTATTTTTATTATTCAATGCATAATTATGTTTTAAACTCGCTATATGAACGAATTACGTAGTTCATCCGGTTTTATCTATTGCGCAATAGAGCATATCATTCGTAACTGTTGTGTAATTCATTGTGATATCTTGAATTTCATACATAATGAATAATGGAATAGAAGAAAAAAAAGACCCAATTCATTGATTCTTTTAATCGAAAGAATAAAAAAATATCGAAAGAAATTTTAGAAATTGTATTCTCTCTAAATTCTTGGGATCAAAAATAAGTTACAATTCCAAGAGTATAAATACGTATGTATCGAATTCCAAAAATACCATCCATTGCTGAAGAAACGCAATCATTCTTGTACGATTAAGTACGCGTGTTTTGATAGATCATACCAGTTGAGCGAATATCGTCAAACGAGTCGGATAATCGAATAAAAAAAAAAAAAGAAAAAAAGAAAAAAAAAGTATCGAAAAGAGAGAGACACAATATAAGATAAGAGCACAAACGCACGATAAAAAAAAAATCCACGTCGATCTAAAGGTAACGCGTATACGCATGCAAGCGAGTTTGCTATCCTGGGACTCTTGCGCGCGCGCGATCACACCGCGGAAAGTGAAATTTTCGCGATTGCGTAATGCTAGCATAATAGTATTATCCGACGAGTAGATCGTGAGCTACACTATTACGAAGTATACCTCTAACGAAGGTACGATTGACCTCGTTGCGGTTTTTGAACCTAATATCGAAATGGTTATAATTCCCCCTTTCCTCTCCCCTCTCCCTTTTTTTGTAAAATATATTGTTGATCGTATTTATGGTTTTATCAGTAATATATCGCATAATTAATTTCATTTTTTGCATAACTTACGTAAAAGTTTCAAAAGAGATCGGTAACCAATCTAAAGTGTTCAAGGTTACATTAAACGCTTTTACGTATCTAAGATGGATGAATGTGAATTTTTAGATGCTAATTCAATGTGTTTAAACATATCGATACACATCGATATTCGTGATAATTATAGAGAAAAAAAAAAAAAAAAACTCTCAGTTATTAATGTTGAATTCGTTTTTTAGGTCAAAAGAACAGAATGAGTATGGTTTATGAAGGACTTCCAGATTTTCGATCCCTTCTCCGATATCGTGGCGTCCTTGTTCCGTGAAAAATCTGAGTGGTACACACGTATATCGAACAAAATACACGTTTATCTCTAACGTTCCACGAGGTTCCTCGTGAAATAAAATACGCTTTATTTCAATCTCTGCTACTCAAACAAAAATATCTTTTATCTATCTAAATTTTTTTTTTTAATAGCCTTTGAAAAATTTGAAAAATTTAATTTTTCAAAAACGTCACAACAAATTCCACATAAAAAATTTAACATAAATAATTCGTGTTTGATCGTTTGATCTTCGAATCATTAATCGTTCAAAATTTCAAACAACTTTCAAACGGTCATCGATAACCAGTTAAATATAAAAAAATGTATTTCAAACAAAAAAATATATAACATGTAATATATTATAAATATAAAATATCTATTAAAAAAAAAATTAATAAAGATAAACATGGATCGTTTCTTACCATTTTTCGATCCGGCATGATCTGCGTCATGGAAAAATCTCACCGATCAGGACGTAAGTGTCCTACGAATGATAATTCCAGCAGTGCACACCACGAATCTCGATCGCGATCTC